GTGCTGGCTGTAGTGGTGCTTGTTGTCGTGGCCGCTGAATTTAGGAAAAAAAATATACGATTTTTAACAGCAGTAACACTCGTGGAAAATACGACTACGTCAGATACTAATGTCTTCTTTAATGGGCGTATCTGTTACAAACCGTGAGGACGATGTTTACAACCTCCCTGTTAGGGAAGTAAAGACGACTAAGCAATATTTGTTGACAGGACATATTAATAGTATTTATTTATCAACTCACCGTCGGCCAAAGTAATGCTGATAATCAAAAAGACAGCCAAGACAACGCAGACTTTTCTAAACGACATGTTTTGTTGAAGTGTTGGGTTATTCTCTTAAATAAAACAGAATAAATACATTTTAAAAATTATATTAAGTCTTCTGTAAACGATAATCACAATTAACATATTGCTTAACTGTGGATAATAAGATATCATTATCATGAAAATGATTTGCCTAAAAGTAGATATCTTAATCGAATTAAGAATTCCTTTACTAAGATAGTGGCTTATAAAAGCAGCAAGACAATGCAGGTCTACGAAGACTGAAAAGAGCTAAATTAAATAGACAACAGATAGACTATTATATACCTTTTTTTAGCATAAGCAACCAACGAATGCACGCTTAAACCCATATTTCCAGCCAACCACAGCCACATTCGTTGCTATTGGATACGTGGAAAAGTGCAAAGTTACAAACAACTTTTGGAAAATTGCGAAACTGAATTCTTAAACGGACATTAAAATTGAGAAAATACGTCAACATTGGTCATTTACCAGCTGTTGTTTAGGCGCATCTACCTTGTAAAAAAAGTACAATCAAATATTCCCTACCCTCATTTCACCCCTCCCCCTGTACACCAAACACCGTGACTGTAACGATTTTTAGAAACGAGTATACATCATGTCAGTAAATATTGCACTGATGCAAGCTGACTAAAACAGAGTGTCCACCACAGACAATGTAAACTTCTTTCTTTGACTTTACATACAAAATGTAAACTGTATTTATATTATAACTTATTTTACTTTTTATTTGTTATATTTTATAGTATTAGCAATAGTTGGTATAACTAAAATTCAACGTGCAAATGTTCATGTATTTCATATATAAATTTAGCTTTAAAACTCCAGATAAGCTTTTGAGTTGCGCACAATAATAAACACAACTGTTGATTAGGTCATGATATACTTTGCTATAATAGTACTAATGTAAAAAAGTTTTTTAATGTAAACACAATTTAGCAATACCTTTTTAAAAGGACTATTTTTATTTTTATCAAAACGAGAAAGGGCAATATCTGCTTAGTAGAAATGTTTTCAGACTATTACTAAAAGTTCTTTTGTCCAAAAAGCTGCACAACTTTTCTAATTCTTTCAAAAAGTACCGCAAGACGAATAGTCATCAGTACTTTTTCAAACCGTGTAAGGACTGAGTCAAAAACTTACGACATAAATAACGTTAAGCCTTGACCTTTGTACCGTCAACCACTACGTCAATACCGTTACAAAACAAAGGAATAAAACCGCTTTCAAATCAAACTGTATTTCAAATATCTTATATTTAAATTTATATTGAATTATTTTTTAGATCAAAGTATTTTACAAAAATATTATTTTACATTTGTTGTTTAGGGTGTTTTGTTTCCATAGAAAGCACAGTGAATAACAGTGTATTTTAAAATAACAAACATTGATTGAGTTCTACTTAAACAACAGACGTAATTCAATGGGGACATTTTGAATAAATGTGTTTACCATACGGATGTTTATATTTTGCCCAAATAAATCAAATGTGTTTTTTTTTTAATTTACCGTAATTTTAATTTAATTTTCAAAATACTCCTAGACTGAAATCACACAAAACATTTTCGGGATCACGTCATCGAAGGGGGGAGGGGCATTCAGATTCTAAATAGAAAATATATACATTTATTACTAGTATATGTGTGTGTGTGTGTGTGTCCCTGCAAAATGTAGTGCCACCCCTAAGAAAAAAAACTCTAAAACTACTGGGGGCATAAATTCCGCCTACGTCGCTCTACTCCCTCGCCCACTCCCCCCCCCCCAACCTTCAATTGACCAAATAAGAAAAAAACTTAAAGAAACTATTTCGAAATATATACTTTAACCAGTATTGAACCAGTGTTACATTAAGCAAAAAACTGATAACTACACGTTTTAATTCTAGAAATTTCTAATGATTTTATATTCACTTCATTCAAAATAAGTTTTCCTTTCCGTCATCCCTTCCGATAATGTAAGTAATTTATGTAGAAAAATGCATACTAAAACCACTGTACCCCCCTCCCCGGAAATTTCAAGCCAATTTTTTTTCAGATGCTCATACAACACAATGACGTCACATTGATATAGTACCCAAATAAATCAACGACGTCACGTTGCACTAGAGCTCACGTAACCCAATGAAGTCGCATTGATTATGTGCACGCTTCACTCAGTGACGTCACATTGACGCGAGCCAGTAAAATGACAGCTGGGACGGGCTCCGTGCTCCATCGTACAGCGAGACAACCCAACGACAACACAAGTGGTTAGCGATGATATTCGATAATGTTATATTGTTTACACAATCGTCGTGATATACCTTTGATAGATTTAAGATGATTTTTTAACCACCGTTTGAAAATATAGCAAAGGTCGATTTTACTTCGGATTAATGTGGTTTGTGTTTGACTAAATATAACTGAGATTTGGGATGTCTTAAATAGTTAAGTTAGATTTAGGTTCAATTTATATTTTGTTTTTATTTAGTCTCCTTGTTATTTTTAGTTTAAGAATATTTCCAATGGTAAGGTTTATTTGTAGGCAAAATGTTGTCTTAAATCCAATATTTCATGTTTCACCTTTATTAGTAATCGTGTTTAATTTCACATTTGTGACTGGGCCTTTCCATACATTTTAGTTTAAATAAAATGTTCTTGTATTTGATTGCTTGATTATTTTCATGAATAGAAACAGCTATATTTAAGACAATTTCGGTTTGTAACTTATAATTTTTAGTAATACTAACGACTTTCTATTATTTTAGTTATCGTCATATGTTCCAGTTCGTGCCCGAGACCTATGAAGTAGAGTTCGTCTGTTTCTGTGACCACGGCATATAAAGGAATAATGTGGTCAGCACTATGTCCAGCTGTCTGTTCTTTCCCTATCGTGAGTTAGGTACCCATCAGAGCTGGGTGGACTCAGGGACGTTCTTCTGACTTCGAACTCGAGACTTTCAGGTTAGCAGTCTGGCTTTCTGTCACTAAGCCACGCAGTCCCACATTATGTAAGTAAAAAGCTGGATTTTTCAAAAAAGCAGCTATGGCAGTTAATCGCCTTTGTCCAACCAAAAACAAGACAAATTTAAATAATTGTTTGATTTGTTGAGTTGTCTCTCCTAGATGGGTTGCTGTCCTCAGCTATTGAGCCTCATCTGCCCGGGGGTTTCGAGCTCGGAGCTTTTAGGTTTAGTAACCATGGGCTTTACCGGCCCGCCCACGCCAACCCACTTCACTTCATTACCCTACACCGAAATTGAGTGGTTTCAATTTAAATTTAAGTTCCTTTTCCAGACCTGACAAACAATAGAGCAGTTGGAGTAGAGTTAATCTGTTTATTGGCCACTGCATACGAAATGTTAATGTAGTCACTATGCCTAACTTACTTATCCTACCTTGAGTCTTGTCATTACAGCTGGGTACACCTATAGTCTTGAGTCCGGGATCCGAACTCTTGATGTTCAGGTTAGCAGTCAAGCGCTCTTCCACCCGACCATGCCGTCCCACACACCTGTACACAGCTTCTTTCTTAATAACCTTCGGTAGGATATTACCCTTTGTCAACTAACCACCCCTTTCTATTAACATCCCAAGTCTTCTCAAAAAATTAAAGTAGATAAACTGTACATTTCACCCAACTATCCCACTTTTTACCCCTATCTTTTATCCCTACCTTTCCACCTTCACTATTATAACAAAGTATTTGTCATTTAAGTTACCTTTAGAACCTGTTTTTTAACCTAGGCATATGAAGGGATAGTGTGGTCCGCACTATGTCCAACCGGCTTTACTTTCCCTAACGTGAGACAGGTACGCATCAGAACATGGAGGACTCATGGACGTTCTACGGCCTTAAACCCGCACTCGAACTTGAGACTTTCGGGTAAGCAGTCATATAACTCAACCACGCCGTCCCATACACAGTATTTGTAAGTAAAATGCTCTGCTTTAAATTAAGCCTTTTTGATAAATGAAAATGCTATTGTGGTATCATTTTGCCGGCCGTCCCTTTTGATGCTCATTTTTTTTTTTAAATTTTTATTTTAATTGGGTAGAATAAGCTACACATTTTTTTATTTAAATAAATAGGCCAAAAATATATTTAGGCGCCTTCATTGACCAACAGTTTGATACACATCTGACCAAAAGTTAGGTGTCTTCATTGACCAACAGTTAGATACACACCTGACCAAAAGTTAGGTGTCTTCATTGACCAACAGTTAGATACACACCTGACCAAAAGTTAGGTTTCTTCATTGACCAACAGTTTGATACACAGCTGACCAAAAGATGAGCGCCGACTTTTAAATATGCGCATCCGTTTCAACTGCATTTTATTTATCATTGAAAGTTCTTGCTTGTTGAAAATATTTAAAAATTCTACTGTCCTAAATGTAGCAGACCCCTCCTGTTCCCATCTGTACCATCCCCCCCCCCAAATCTCCCCTCCCCCCCCCCCCCACCTCCTTATTCGCTTTATAATAACAAAAAATATTCAAAATTTAATAGTAAAACGCAAATGCTCCAATTGATAGTTTTTCACTACAATGTCTGGGGGAGGGGAAATAACAGACCCCGGGGAAATAGACAAGGTTAGGGTGTGATTGAATCGTGGATTCAGATCTGCATAGTATACAACATGATAATACATATCAACAGACAAAAAAATAATATCAAACGAATTATTTAAACAGGTATTTTATTTAATGAAAAGAAACGAAATCTCCAAAATTTGAAATCTTTGAAATATTTATAATTATACAGAAACGAATACCTGTTGTTGTTGTTGTTTTGGAATAAAAGTTTTTTAAATTAATTCTTAAAATATAATTTTTCTATTTTAATTTTGCGCAGACATTTCGGATTTGACGCCATTAGGTGAAGAAAATGGGCCCATCGTAGTCAAAATGTCTTGCAGTTTCTGTTGGACAGAAAACAATTCGATATTTAATACATCAATGTAAACAGTTTTAATGACATGGCTGCTATAAGAAAATATATCAATGCTGTTGTAGCAATGGATTAAAGCTATGAACAAATTTAGGTCCTCTGTTTAGTCTAAGACGACAAGCTGTGAATTCAAATTTTGTGAGAGTTTAGTTAAGGAACCGAAAGGACGGCTCGTTGTGAGTTTCTGGACTGCAAGAAAAAAACTTGAGTAGTGCACGCAGGGCGCAAGTCAACTACAGCTACACCACCAAACAGGGCGCCAGTCAACTTCAGCTACACCACCAAACAGGGCGCCAGTCAACTACAGCTACACCACCAAACAGGGCGCCAATTAACATATAGCTACACCACCAAACAGGGCGCCATTCAACTTCAGCTACACCACCAAACAGGGCGCCAGTCAACTTCAGCTACACCACCAAACAGGGCGCCAGTCAACTACAGCTACACCACCAAACAGGGCGCCAATTAACATATAGCTACACCACCAAACAGGGCGCCATTCAACTTCAGCCACACCACCAAACAGGGCGCCAGTCAACTTCAGCCAAACAAGGCACCAATCAACTACAGCTACACCACCAAACAGGGCGCCAATCAACTTCAGCTACACCACCAAACAGGGCGCCAGTCAACTTCAGCCAAACAGGGCACCAATCAACTTCAGCTACACCACCAAACAGGGCGCCAGTCAACTACAGCTACACCACAAAACAGGGCGCCATTCAAATACAGCTATACCACAAAAAAGAGCGCCAATTAACATATAGCTACACCACCAAACAGGGCGCCAGTCAACTATAGCTACACCACCAAACAGGGCGCCAGTCAACTACAGCTACACCACCAAACAGGGCGCCAGGCAATAACTAAGGCTTCTCCAACTCACTGCGCCAGTGAACAACTTCAACAATACCAACCAGTAAAATTCAGCTACTACACAAATCATCCACGAACTGTTACATCATTAACTACTCAACAACAACTACAGCGTCACCCATACAACATTTACAACAATAAAAACCAACCAACTACAGCGACTACACGAATCAGTCAACCACAGCTACAAAACAAATTAGCCAACAACTCCTACACACCAACCAAAGCCTAAGGTCTTCTTTTTCTTCTTTCTTAATTTTTAGTGTTGGAAGGGATCGTGCCTTATCTGCCAGAGGGTTCGAACTCGAGACCTTTTCGAATTTACCAACCATGAGCTTTGCCGACTCGACTCCAACACAATTAAGTATACGTGTCAACTGCTTATGCGCCATTGAGGCCATTGACTCCGATTTCAGCCTGCTTTTTCTGTTTGGATTTGCTTCCATAGCCTTTGTCCAACCAAGAACAAACTACAAGGCAGCAGTTCTTTGATTTTGGAGTTGTCTCTCCTAGAAGAGTGGCTCTCCCCAGATAGCGAGCCTCATATGCCCGAGGGTTCGAACTTGAGATGTTTCGGTTTAACAGCCATGTGCTTTATCGACCACACCAACCCCTAAAGCCTAAGGTAACTAATACCTTTACACCAACCTGTCAACTGTCACCACTACACCAGACAGGGTACAACTGCAGTGTCGAACAATTGCTAACACTTGCCAAATCAGAGTTTCTTTCAGACATTCCCCCCCCCCCCCCCACCACCGGACAAAAAAGAATTTATAAAGAAAATATATACTTTTACCAGTGTCTGTAAAATTTATTCCAGACCGCCTCCCCAACAAAAATTTCAAGTGCCCCCACCCGCCAGAGAAAAAAATTCTGAAAGAAACACTGCCATAATCTGACTGTATCAAACGTCACTTTAAAAGAGACAATTTCATATTCATATTTCATAGTCATATTAACGACTACACTTTTCTACGTTTCTTTTTTTTCGATTTTTTTTCAAAGCAGTTTTACGGTACTGGCAAATAAACTGAATGTGTTATTAATTATCATAGCTTTGATTTCCTTAGCTTTACTTTATCTGTTGCAAGAATTATTTACCCGAAAAATACTTTTTTTTTTAAATCTGTTTTACTTTGACCGATTTTTTTTTTACGTTTGAAATTGATATTTACTTTTCTTCAATCAGTGTATTTTTATTAAAACAAGTCCACACATAATCAGATTACATCAGTGTGCCTTACATTTAGTATCTTGTAGCAGGTGGGTTACATGTAATATAATGTCTTACCTTTGATGAGTGTGGATACTAGCCAGAGAGGCTGCCAAGAAGGCCAAAGAGTGTACCAATAGTATTCTAGTAATTAAAAGGAAATAAAATGGATTAATTTTATTGTGTGTATAATTATTCATCACGAGCTGATCCGCGACGTAGCATACGCCGCTATCTAGTTGTTTTATTTTCTACTTATCAACAATTCATAATTTGTGAATTCGACACTACCCCACCCCCTGCTCACCCACCCCCACCCCGCCCCGTGAAAGCAGCCGTTTACAGACGACAATGAAAATATCAAACAGAACTTATTTTCTCTCCTTAGTTTCAAATCGTTTAAAAACTAAATTACCAGCCCCTGATAGCCGTCATTTTTTCAAACCTGCTCTACTATTGTAAACATTCGGGGTGAACCACAGCTCACCTAACAGGTGGGGATAAGGGTGGTGGCTAAGCTGCGTGGTGTTTTCTATGGTCTCCATGAAGAGAATTACATAAATAGATTAGCGTTTACCTAATGTGTTCACAACACGCGAGCACGCTACAGAAATCTCTACCCTCTTTTTTTCTCGGTTGTAAGAATGTATTTTCAAAAAATGCACAATATATATATATATATATATATATATATATATATATATATATATATATATATATATATATATATATATATATTTACCGTTACGACTTGGATTAGGGAATCTGAAAAAAAAATAAAAGTTATTAGTGGTATACAAATTCATACTTCATCATTCACTTTTCTTCTTTGTGAATATCATTTATTATAGAGAATTTAACAAAGCAAATTCATACTTCCTCATTCACTTTTCTTCTATGTGAATATCATTTATTATAGAGAATTTAACAAAGCAAATTCATACTTCCTCATTCACTTTTCTTCTTTGTGAATATCATTTATTATAGAGAATTTAATAAAGCAAATTCATACTTCCTAAATTCACTTTTCTTCTTTGTGAATATCATTTATTATAGAGAATTTAACAAAGCAAATTCATACTTCCTCATTCACTTTTCTTCTTTGTGAATATCATTTATTATAGAGAATTTAACAAAGCAAATTCATACTTCCTCATTCACTTTTCTTCTTTGTGAATATCATTTATTATAGAGAATTTAACAAAGCAAATTCATACTTCCTCATTCACTTTTCTTCTTTGTGAATATCATTTATTATAGAGAATTTAATAAAGCAAATTCATACTTCCTCATTCACTTTTCTTCTTTGTGAATATCATTTATTATAGAGAATTTAACAAAGCAAATTCATACTTCCTCATTCACTTTTCTTCTTTGTGAATATCATTTATTATAGAGAATTTAACAAAGCAAATTCATATTTCCTCATTCACTTTTCTTCTTTGTGATTATCATTTATTATAGAGAATTTAATAAAGCAAATTCATACTTCCTAAATTCACTTTTCTTCTTTGTGAATATCATTTATTATAGAGAATTTAACAAAGCAAATTCATACTTCCTCATTCACTTTTCTTCTTTGTGAATATCATTTATTATAGAGAATTTAATAAACCAAATTCATACTTCCTCATTCACTTTTCTTCTTTGTGAATATCATTTATTATAGAGTATTTTAACAAAGCAAATTCATACTTCCTCATTCACTTTTCTTCTTTGTGAATATCATTTATTATAGAGAATTTAATAAAGCAAATTCATACTTCCTAAATTCACTTTTCTTCTTTGTGAATATCATTTATTATAGAGAATTTAACAAAGCAAATTCATACTTCCTCATTCACTTTTCTTCTTTGTGAATATCATTTATTATAGAGAATTTAACAAAGCAAATTCATACTTCCTCATTCACTTTTCTTCTTTGTGAATATCATTTATTATAGAGAATTTAATAAAGCAAATTCATACTTCCTCATTCACTTTTCTTCTTTGTGAATATCATTTATTATAGAGAATTTAATAAAGCAAATTCATACTTCCTCATTCACTTTTCTTCTTTGTGAATATCATTTATTATAGAGAATTTAATAAAGCAAATTCATACTTCCTCATTCACTTTTCTTCTTTGTGAATATCATTTATTATAGAGAATTTAACAAAGCAAATTCATACTTCCTCATTCACTTTTCTTCTTTGTGAATATCATTTATTATAGAGAATTTAACAAAGCAAATTCATACTTCCTCATTCACTTTTCTTCTTTGTGAATATCATTTATTATAGAGAATTTAATAAAGCAAATTCATACTTCCTCATTCACTTTTCTTCTTTGTGAATATCATTTATTATAGAGTATTTTAACAAAGCAAATTCATACTTCCTCATTCACTTTTCTTCTTTGTGAATATCATTTATTATAGAGTATTTTAACAAAGCAAATTCATACTTCCTCATTCACTTTTCTTCTTTGTGAATATCATTTATTATAGAGAATTTAATAAAGCAAATTCATACTTCCTCATTCATTTTTCTTCTTTTTGAATATCATTTATTATAGAGTATTTTAACAAAGCGAAATGAAACGTGATCTTGTCTCACAACCGTTCACAATATACACAATACACGATTAATTTTGTGATGGGATCAAACTTCGGTTGTACAGTCTACGCAATAAAAGAAAATATGGTATCGTTTTGTGATTTTTATGCTTATTTATACAACAAAAATACGCAACAGCAAAAAGTTTACATTGAGTAAAAACAATCATGGAATATGTAACTTCCATAATGTAAGGATAGAAAAGTGTTATTTTTAAGTTACGTAAAATAAAGATTTTTTGGGAAAATTTTTTTAATTACCTAGCGGAGCTAGTGGAGCTAGCGTAGTTGTAGTTGTGGTTGTTGTAGGTGTTGTTGGAGGAGCAGCTGAAATTTAGACAAAGAAAATTTTATTATGACAAAGAAAAATAGTAATTTATACAATAATTATAGAATAGTTTATAAAAATGGTAATGCAATTGTTCAAAACACTTTAAAATATAAGATATATTATCGTTTACGTCATGTTAACATATATCATTTGCTAATAAATAGAAATCTATTTGCTTTATTTTCAGAATTATATGGATATGACAAAAAATAAAACTTTTTCGTCAACTATTGTTTAGGTATCTACTATTTTATAAAAAAAAAATTATATTCCTGGATTTTTAGAAATAAATAAACCACACAATCAATTTCACCCTTATATGTATACATATCACGGAAAATATTTCTTATAAAATGCAAACTTTACTTGGGAGAGTCGAACAAAGACCACTAGCACTTTTTAACCTAAAGCGTAGCAAAGCCCACTTTCTCGCATGAATGTAAAAATGTAGCTAAGCCCACTAGCACGCATGAATGTCAGAGGCGCAGCGACCCCTCCCGGCGCCCCCCCCCCCATATTTTTTTTTATTTATTATTCAAAATAGCAGCTAAAATTAGCTTATTTTGGCGCTCCTATGGTCGGCGCCCATGGATATGTTAACCCCCCCTTCCCGTCGCTACGCCTTTGATGAGTGTAAAAGTGTAAGCCCACTGGCACACACGAGTGTAAAAGTGTAGCAAAGCCCACTGGCACATGAATGTAAAAGTGTAGCAAAGCCCACTAGCACATGAATGTAAAAGTGTAGCAATGCCCACTGGCGCATGAATGTAAAAGTGTAGCAAAGCCCACTGGCGCATGAATGTAAAAGTGTAGCAAAGCCCACTGGCACATGAATGTAAAAGTGTAGCAAAGCCCACTGGCACATGAATGTAAAAGTGTAGCAAAGCCCACTGGCACATGAATGTAAAAGTGTAGCAAAGCCCACTGGCACATGAATGTAAAAGTGTAGCAAAGCCCACTGGCACATGAATGTAAAAGTGTAGCAAAGCCCACTGGCACATGAATGTAAAAGTGTAGCAAAGCCCACTGGCACATGAATGTAAAAGTGTAGCAAAGCCCACTGGCACATGAATGTAAAAGTGTAGCAAAGCCCACTAGCACATGAATGTAAAAGTGTAGCAAAGCCCACTGGCACATGAATGTAAAAGTGTAGCAAAGCCCACTAGCACATGAATGTAAAAGTGTAGCAAAGCCCACTAGCACATGAATGTAAAAATGTAGCAAAGCCCACTGGCGCATGAATGTAAAAGTGTAGCAAAGCCCACTGGCACATGAATGTAAAAGTGTAGCAAAGCCCACTGGCACATGAATGTAAAAGTGTAGCAAAGCCCACTGGCACACACGAGTGTAAAAGTGTAGCAAAGCCCACTGGCGCACAAGTGTAAAAGTGTAGCAAAGCCCACTGGCACATGAATGTAAAAGTGTAGCAAAGCCCACTGGCACATGAATGTAAAAGTGTAGCAAAGCCCACTGGCACATGAATGTAAAAGTGTAGCAAAGCCCATTGGCACATGAATGTAAAAGTGTAGCAAAGCCCACTGGCACATGAATGTAAAAGTGTAGCAAAGCCCACTGGCACATGAATGTAAAAGTGTAGCAAAGCCCACTGGCACATGAATGTAAAAGTGTAGCAAAGCCCACTGGCACATGAATGTAAAAGTGTAGCAAAGCCCACTGGCACATGAATGTAAAAGTGTAGCAAAGCCCACTGGCACATGAATGTAAAAGTGTAGCAAAGCCCACTGGCACATGAATGTAAAAGTGTAGCAAAGCCCACTGGCACATGAATGTAAAAGTGTAGCAAAGCCCACTGGCACATGAATGTAAAAGTGTAGCAAAGCCCACTGGCACATGAATGTAAAAGTGTAGCAAAGCCCACTAGCACATGAATGTAAAAGTGTAGCAATGCCCACTAGCACACATGAATGTAAAAGTGTTGGATATTCGTCCTATTTATTAAACAGAAAATGTTTCATTAGTTGCTCTAGTATTTTCTAGGGGTAATGAAAAGACGTCATTTTTTACATACCTTCTGCATACACGAGGCAGCAGACGATCAGAACAGCAGCAAAAAGTACAAATGTTGCAGACGACATGGTTTTAGGCAAACTGGTGTGTTTACTTCTGGAAATACAACATAATTGCATTATATATTTTAAGTCATTGTTTTTTAATGTGTGACTTGTTGTCATAAACATGTACTTATAACTAGCCGTAACAGAGGCGTAGCGACACCTCCCGACGCCCGGGGACAAACTTTCAATTAGGCACCCCCTTCTACATTTAAAAAATGTATAATTCAAAATAGCAGCTAAGATGGGCTTATTTTAGCACACCTATGGTCGGCGCCCGGGGACATATGTACCCCCCCCCCGTCGCTACGCCTTCTAGCCGTAACGATGACGAGGTCTACGACAAATCATCATTCGGGCAAGTGTCCATTCGGGTATTTTAACACGTTTTTATTAACTCAGCTTCGCGTGGATGTGTTTGTTGTTAAAATTGACATCGAAAATTAGCCCACTTCTGATTGCTCTATAGATCTGAAATTTGGCATGCAGGTTACTTTCGCCTAACAATTTCAGATGCAATCATAAAAACTAGCAATTAGAGACCGTAATTAGCTTAATTTAATTACGCCCAAAGGACCATAAAATTGAGGACATGATTTCTAAAGATACCGACAAGACTGGAGGCTTATAGACACAGTTACTTCGGCCCCAATCGATGTGAGCGCGCTGGCCGTGATCGTATAGTGGTTAGTACTTCGCGTTGTGGCCGCGACAACCCAGGTTCGAATCCTGGTCGCTCAAGATTTTTTTAGTCCGTGTATTTATATACACTTAGTCAAGTCATACTTAATCAAGTCATTAGATAAAGTAGAAAATAAACTATATAAAAAACTTTTTTAAAAACCACGTTTTTCATGTGTAGCAACGGACTAAAAAGGAGAAAATAAAATACTTAAAAAAAACTTTTTAAAAAACCACGTTTTTCTTGTGGACTAAAAAGTAGAAAATAACTATTTACATACATTTGATGACAAAAAACGTGGGTCGGGCAGATGGGTCGGGAAATTTGATGGTGAACCCACGTTTTTTGTCATCAAATGTATGTAAATAGTTATTTTCTACTTTTTAGTCCACAAGAAAAACGTGGTTTTTTAAAAAGTTTTTTTTAAGTATTTTATTTATCATTCGGGCAAGTGTCCATTCGGGCATTTTTATCATTCGGGCAAGTGTCCATTCGGGCATTTTTATCATTCGGGCAAGTGTCCATTCGGGCATTTTTATCATTCGGGCAAGTGTCCATTCGGGCATTTTTATCATTCGGGCAAGTGTCCATTCGGGCATTTTTATCATTCGGGCAAGTGTCCATTCGGGCATTTTTATCATTCGGGCAAGTGTCCATTCGGGTATTTTTATCATTCGGGCAAGTGTCCATTCGGGCATTTTTATCATTCGGGCAAGTGTCCATTCGGGCATTTTTATCATTCGGGCAAGTGTCCATTCGGGCATTTTTATCATTCGGGCAAGTGTCCATTCGGGCATTTTTATCATTCGGGCAAGTGTCCATTCGGATATTTTTATCATTCGGGCAAGTGTCCATTCGGGTATTTTTATCATTCGGGCAAATGTCTATTCGAAAATGCTTCCGGCTCCCTGGATAAGTGCAGTTTATTTAGCATAGAGTTTTATAGAGTCAGCTGCTTGAAATTGTAACGAAAATGTTGATGGTGTGCTACGAGCAGTAAAAATGTAAACATCAAAGTCAAAGCGAATACACATAAAGACACAGTTATGCATCGCTTTCTTCATTGCGTACCATTAGCAAACAGTAGATAAGAAAAAAATTTAAACTGGAAAGACATTTCAATAGAATTACAAACTCCCTTCATTTGGCACGCATAAGTATACGAATTAGGCCCGCGATGCGTAATAAATATAACACAAAGTAAATAAAATCGCTTGACACGTAAGAAAGTGGCTTTTGACAGATTTACACTTCCTATTTCTGAAAGACGAGGGATTTTTTTGTTTTTAAATTAAGCTCTTATTTTTATGTAGAGTATTATTCCAAATAAGGCGACGAAAAAAATATTATACAACTAAGACAACAGAAATAATATTTAAAAAATCAGACAAAACCAAAAATATTATATAAATAAGACAACAGAAATAATATTATTAAAAAAAAACAGACAAAACCAAAAATATTATATTAATAAGACAACAGAAATAATATTAAAAAATCAGACAAAACCAAAAATATTAAACAAATAAGACAACAGAAATAATATTATTAAAAAAACCAGACAAAACCAAAAATATTATACAATTAAGACAACAGAAATAATATTATAAAAAAAAACAGACAAAACCAAAAATATTATACAACTAAGACAAAAGAATTAATATTTAAAAATCAGACAAAACCAAAAATATTATACAATTAAGACAATTGAAATAATATTTATAAAATCAGACAAAACCAAAAATATTATATAAATAAGACAAAAAGATATTTGATAAATAGTGCCGCACCTCAAAAAAGTTAGGATAGTACTTTTGAAAACTGCTCTCATTAACCCAATTTATGCTCCCTTCTTCCCCCACTCCACAAAGCTGAACAAGCGCCTACCCATCGCTACCTTGTTTTACCTTCACCTCTCTCCACCCCCCCCCCCCCACCCCACCAGACCTTAAAAAAACACCGCGACCACAAAGACGGCATTTTTGATAACACCGCCCGATAAATCAGTCTTTGTATTTATGTATCATCTGGAACTTGGTGACTTTTATTAACAAATTTTATTTTTAGACATTTTTCTAAATAAAAAAAAAAAACAATAGTTTAAGATGTAGAGTAATATATATTATCCTGGAAAGAAATCATTTACTGAAACAAACCGTTATAATATTTCTTCATGCATTATTTAGTAATTATTTTTAAAAGAACTTACTATTTTGAGCAATAAATAAATTGAACTTGTTTTATCTAATGAAAAATCACTTAGCATTTTTTAAAAACCATTATAAAATTCAAGTTTGTTTTAATGTATAAATAGTTAAATACATTTTTGCTTTTACGAATCAAATACATGTTTTATATGATAAATGCGTCTACTTATTTCCTGTACATAAGTTATTTTAAAAAAATGTTAAATTATTGAAGCAACAGTATTTAACACTATATAATAAAAATAAAATTAAAAAAGCATGTCCTTACAATGTGGTCTAAAAAAAGCAGGAAGATGAAGAATCGTTTCGAAGCTTGAATTGAAGTAAAGCTCCAAGAGCCCTGACGGCCTGTTAAGTACCTTTCATTAGCTAAACAAACAACCAATCGCATGCATGCATTTTAATTGTTAACTAACCACAACCAATCATTTAGCTCGTGAGTGGATAACATTACTTGATACAAAACGTCTATTGCGGAATACGATTTAATCGATTTTTTTAGCAACTTGTGTGGGAGGTAAAATATTTTTTTGTGCCTGATGTGTGTGTGGGCGAAAGCCTACGCTTTTGAAATTCCAAGGTCATCATGTTGTTAGAAAAATCTTTTGAAGTTTGTAGCTATAGGATCTAAGAAACTATAGTGATAAAATTCAAATCTTACCTTATGATCTTGAATGTTAAAGAAGGAACATTTATCGAATTGTTTTATTGTTCCATCCTAAGTTATGTCCAATTCTTTGTTCCAAAGAAAACTTTTGACCAATTCTCTTTTCCACACAAAACTTTCGACCAATTCTCTGTTCCACACTAAAATTTCGACCAATTCTCTGTTCCACACTAAAATTTCGACCTTTTTTCTGTTCCACACTAAAATTTCGACCTTTTTTCTGTTCCACACTAAAATTTCGACCTTTTTTCTGTTCCACACTAAAATTTCGACCTTTTTTCTGTTCCACACTAAAATTTCGACCTTTTTTCTGTTCCACACTAAAATTTCGACCTTTTTTCTGTTCCACACTAAAATTTCGACCTTTTTTCTGTTCCACACTAAAATTTCGACCTTTTTTCTGTTCCACACTAAAATTTCGACCTTTTTTCTGTTCCACACTAAAATTTCGACCTTTTTTTCTGTTCCACACTAAAATTTCGACCTTTTTCTGTTCCACACTAAAATTTCGACCTTTTTTCTGTTCCACACTAAAATTTCGACCTTTTTTCTGTTCCACACTAAAATTTCGACCTTTTTTCTGTTCCACACTAAAATTTCGACCAATTCTCTGTTTCACACAAAATTTCTACCAATTCTCCGTTCTACACTAAAATTTCTCCCAATTTTTTTTTCCACACTAATATTCCGACCAATTCTCTGTTCCACGCATATATTTCGACCAATTCTCCGTTCCACACTATAAATTTTCGCTCAGTTCTCTGTTCCACAATAAATCTTCCTAATGACTTGTTTGCTCTACATTTGAATTTTGCTAAATTGTTCGCTTCTTTCATACACATATTTACACTAAATCAATACACAAAATCAATTTTCGGATTATAATTTAGGTCACGTGTATTGTTTTAGAAATAAACAACATAAAGTGTTTATGAAACAAGATTTGTTTTGTTCTTTAAAAAATGCTACACATTACACATATTTACACACAAAAAACAAACTTTTAAGTAGTGTTATTTCCTTTAAAATTTTCAAAAACTGAGGTTTCTGTAAATTTTAAATACGAAATATTGTCCAAACTAAGATTGTAAAACTAAAAATATAATAGAGAGACATATTAGTATTAAGTCTATCGTTAATACCAATCAAATCTAAGTTTTTAAAGTGATTGTAAGGCTAACGCAATTACTTTTTTTTTCTATACCAAAATAAAAAAGGTTATTGTTTTTATTTCCATTCTTGTTTGCTATTTTTTTTACAATGTAAACATTTGAAGAATTTTAAATTATGTTTATAATACATGTATGTCAATGACGAGTTGTAACATATGTTTGACGTATAGTCGGGCCAAGGTTAAGAAATTTTGAAGAGGCGGGATCGAATCACGACGTCAGTGAATGCTTTGTTGTTGTGTGGGTTTGAAGAGGCGGTCTCTATAGCTTTGTTTTTGTATAGAGCACATGCGTAAGCTCTACATAAACAACGTATTGTTTTATCAATCGCAAGATTTTTATTTCGCTGTTGTTAAGACTTCAAATGAAAAAGAAAAATGAAAATACTCTTTGAAGCAAGAACGGAAGTATTGAGTTTGAAATACTTGACATCTGTTGCAAAAGGGACGTTTTGATCTCGACTCAAATGTTAATAGTTATCGAATGAATATATGCTTTGTTTCTTTAAAAATCAACTCAACTGCGACGTATAATTCTCTTTTAAAATATAACAGTTATCGGTCTTTAAGTGTATCACGTGAAGAAAATTCAATTCTGTTTTGATTTTATCCATTTTGTATACTTGACATCGATGTTAGAAAAAAATATCCCATGCGTCCCCATCCCCCAAAGAACTTTGTAAACCCCCACCCCACCTACTCACTCTCAGTACCGTCGCACTACATCCCCACCCTCTTATAAAGTTTCCCAGCACACTTTCGCCCCCTTCCTTCATACACACCAACTGTTACGTCCGGGTTTTGTTCAACTCAGAAACCAATTCGTGACAACCTTCAATACTTTTTTTGGTCTCAACTCTCCACATTACACAGTAGCTCTCGCCCTAATCGCCACCACCTAACCTCCTTACAATCATTCACTCCAGCCTTTATGCTGCGTTCGACCTTGGGGTAACAATACATAAACACACCCGGGTTACTACACACTAGCGTAAACTCAACTCACGCATGCACTCCCCCCCCCCAAGTTCTAGATTATTCTAGCCTATTTCTATCTAAGCTACAACTGACCCGTTACACCAACCAGTGAAGGACGTACGTTTACGCTAAACAAATTGTTGATTGGCGCTCTTATTTTTCTTTTCTTATTCCACATTCAAATTTTGTCCAACTTTTTGCTTATTCAACATTCAAATTTTGCCAAAGTCTTTTCTTATTCAACATTTAAATTTTGTCCAATTCTGTGCTTATTCAACATTCAAATTTTGCCCACTTCTTTGAGTGTTGTCCGTCAATATCTTTTAAAGTTATGCCTAATGTTTATATTAATGATATTGTCTAATCGTAATAGATTACAACATATTGAGTGTTGTATATTGAGGAATAAAGTAGGGAATGTTTGAAGATGCCAATCATATTAATGTATTGTTGTTAAGTTTTGGACTTGTTTTTGGCATAGTGGAGAGTCCTAAATCATGTTGTGTAGTTTTATTGATCAAATAGACGGCTAAACATAAACAACGTACTGCTTCATTCGACGAAGAGATTTTATTTCATTGTTACTAACAATAAAAATTGAGAAATGAAGCATTTCTTTGTAGCAAGGCCTACAATATAGACAGTTACATACTTGACATCTGTTACAAACTTGATGTTATGATCACTCAAACGTTAACAATGTTCGTTCAAATATTCACAATAATTACTCAGATATTATAGAAAAATCACTCAAATGTTATCAGCAATCACTCATATGATAACGATAATCACGCAAATGTTAACAATAATGACTCAAAAGATAACGATAATGACTCAAAAATAACTATAATCATTCAAATCTTAACAATAATCACTTAAACGATAAAAGTAATAACTAAAGTATTAATAATCGTTTATATGTTAACAAATACTACTCAAATGTAAAAAGAAATCTCACTCATGTTAACAATATTCAGACAAATGTTAACAATAATCACACAAATGTTTACAATAATCAATACAATTCTAACGCAGTTGTTTATTTTTTTGTTTGTTTGTTTTTTACAAAATCTTCACTACATCTACGTTTAATTCCCTCTAACTGTTGACATTAATGTTGTTTACCTTTAAATTCATCTCAAGAACAAAATCATTTTCTCTGTTATCTTTATCTCTATTTTGTTTCTTAGATAAAGATCCATAAGTAGAAAGTAGAAAGTATTCATGCTTCTCCGTCACCCACATGACTTCGTGCCCCCCCCCATACACTGTCCGTACAACCACACTACATTCCCGCTCCTCAGTACCATGAAAAACTACTCATTAACCCCCATCCTCCCCCCCCCCACAACTCCACCCCCCTCCCCCACCTCTTTACCTTATCACCAGCCCGCTCATTGTTCAATGAAAAGAAAATGGCCCTATCTATTGGACAATATTGACAATTTTGCAGAGATGCTGAAAAAAAAAAACACCCCAGCCTCCAATCACCCACCCCTTCAACACGCTTCCAATCAATGACCCTAATCACTTACCTGATACAAATGTATTATGATGTTTACTTAATAGTTAATACCCACACAGCATACACTCTCCGCATTAAATTCCTATTATGCACTTACTAATCCCCCTTTTTTAAACATACACGCGCGCGCATAAACACACACACACACACGCACGCGTGCGAGAGAGAGGGAGAAAGTGATAAAGCGCGCATACACAGAGATCCATACCTATGTATGACGTCTAAACTGGTTGTTTTAAATTTATTCGCAATGAAAATTTTGATTTATCAAAATTCTTATTCAATGATAGCTACTATCGGGAACAAATACTAAACAACTCTAGCGTGCAAATATCTCAAACAAATAACACATACGTAACACTTTGATGACACACACACACACAAAACATACAAATAGCATGAAGTAGCACACGAAAAATTGCATGAAATTATAATTCTGCTTTTGCGTGGGGAGCTTGCAAATTTGGAATCAATCTTGTGGTTGTGTTGTTTTCTTGTACTATGATTCCTTGTATATAAAAAAATATTAAAAAGGACAAAGAAGAACCTTGTGTTATAATATATTTAATTAGTAATGCATCTAACTAGCACATAACTTAAATAGAATTCGTCGCACACATTTTGACTACACACAGCTCTAAAGGAAACTTGTATCGAATCTGCGAAAGTCTACGGAGTTGGTCAGAGGCGTAGCGACCCTTTCCGGCGCCCGGGGACAAACTTTCGATTTGCACCCGACCCCCCCCTCCACCCCTCAAACTTTCGATTTGTATCCCCCTTAAACTTTAAATTCCCCCCCCCCCTTCAAACTTTCAATGTGTATATCCAACCCATTTTGGCGCCCCCTAAGGTCGGCGCCAGGGGACATATGTCCCCCGCTCCCTCCCCCCTCGCTACGCCTCTGGAGTTCGTGTTGAAAAGTGGTGGAGTATTGATAATGTAAAGTGGTTTGTAACATTGGAGGTATCGATCCTCAAACTTTGATGAAAATAAAATGCA